AGAGAGAGCGAGCGCGAGAGAGAGAGAGGGAGAGAGAGTGTGTGTGTGTGCATGTGTGCATGTATGTATGTACGTATGTAAGTAAGTATGTATGTATGCATGCATGTATGTGCATGCATGTGCATGTATGTGCATGTCTGTGTGTATGTATGTGCATGTATGCATGTATGTATGTATGTTTGTATGTATGTGCATGTATGTGCATGTATGTGCATATATGTGCATATATGTGCATGTATGTATGTATGTATGTATGTATGTATGTAGGCAGGTAGGTAGGTAGGTAGGTAGGTAGGTAGGTAGGCAGGTGTGTGCGCACAGATGTACGTACATATGTATGTATGCATGCATCCGCGTATGTATCCATGTATGTGTACATGTAGATTTACGCGTGCATGTGCATGTATATGCACATGTGTATGTACATTTGCATGTATATGCTTGTGTGTTTATATTTATGAGCATATGTGTATGTATGTGTAAACATACACATTTGTGTGTATCTATATATATATGTATTTATGTAGTTATTTATTCATTGATTTATTTATTCATTTATATGTTTGTATATGTGTATGCGCGTTTATACCCATCCTTGTCTCCCTCGGATTGCATTGAAGTTCAGGTCTTCTTTACATGGCAAGCTTACATGTCCTTACACTCTGCTGCAGACCTTTCCGCTAACATAAACATATAAGGACGATGGGGCCTTAAGAGAATATCACTAGTCGATCAAGCCAATTTATTTACTAGAGCAAACACTCAACCCTTAGAGGCCCATAGCCTATACCCTTACACCAACCGTACTCACAACCCGTAAGTCCTAATCCCGTATGCCCTATACCCTAGTAGCCCTGTACCCTTACACCCTCTACCCTACATGGAAAATCTCAAACCCTACAGCCCTTAATCCAATCAATCCCGAACCTCGTGCCCTCCACCTCTCGGATTCCTTAGGCCTCAGGCACTGCTTCAGAAAGCTGAGAGCCTGGGCAAAGGGCCTTCGTGACTTAAAGGCAAGTGCTTGAATTGTCGGGCCTCAAACCCGAGTCTAGGATTCTTGGAGCTTACAGGTTTGTAGCATGAGGATTCTTATGAGCTTGCGAGATTTGAGCCCTGGCTGCTTCAACTGTATGTCGGCTTTTGAAGTTCCTCCCTTGCTTTGCGTTGTCGTCGGCATCGTGATGAGGGCAAGCACAACCATGATAATAGTCAGCGATCCAGGTCCTTTTCCTGATAAGCGCCCTGCTCGCCCTCGTCATCTTCATTGTCAGTGTCATCATCACCCCCATCGTTCCGATGCTTATGTCATGGCATTCAGAATCATCGCCATTCTCTTCATAGTGACAGCCGTGACCTCCGGCAACAGGCCAAGCGGGCGCTGCGCGAAGCGCGTGCGGCGCGTGCGTTGGTGTGGCCCAGCACAAGAGAAGGTTGAGATGGGTCTGTGGTTTAGGGCTCCATGGTGACAGCCTAGATTTTCGTTCTTGAAGTGGGCTTTGATCTCCAGGTGCTTTTTGAGGATCATCCAACTGGCTTCGGTCTTGTATGCATATTCATATTGTCTTAGATACTATATGCTCGGTCACACTAATTGGATTAGTACATGTCTATCTTTTTGCAACAGTATCAATGATACAGTATGTTCGGTCAACTGTTAGGCGTCATAAGGGTATATACTTCATATATACATATATACACATATCCGTTTTTAAGTACACACGACACATCATATCTATGCATGTGCATAAGTGTATATATATATACACTCCTACATATCTTTATATACATATACAGAAGCACGTATGTGTTACAAAATTACGCGAGTCTCCCAAGCCAATCCCAGGATGTCCAGGCTGCTGCCGGCATGGCGCCAGACTGCTGCAAAGTGCCGTAGACACAATGATGGTTTGGGGTTTCGGATTTTCGGGTTGTTTGGGGTTTTAGGGTTTTTTGGGCGGTTTAGGGCTTTAGGTGTAGGGTTTAGTGTCTCGGGTTTAGGGCTTAGGCTTTTCCAGGAAGCCCTAACCGCTAAACCCCAACCAAACCCAGTGGTGAATTCCAGGTAGCGGGGACCAGGAAGGCCCAAATTACTAGAGAAGTGGGATCCTTCATATGAAGCCCACCCTCTTCTGCAAAATGTTAAACCATAAACCCTAAGCCCTACATCAGCCCATGGCTTTTCGAACCCTAACCGATTCCTAAATCCTCTACCCCAGCCCCTGCCAGGATCATCACACTCTCAGAGGAGAACCCAGACACTAAACTCCCAAAAGCTGCAACCCACAGCCCCAACACTCTAAACCCTTTGAGTTGTAAATTCTTGTAGGGTTGAGGTCATGAATCCTGCTCCCAAATAGTCGAATGAAGGATCCGTTCAGCGATCCCTGGTAGGCTTCCTGGCCCAGAGGTTCTCGTGCCTTTAGGGCTTGAGAGTTTAGAGTCCAGGGGGTTTAGGGTTTGGGGGTTTAGGTTTTAGAGTTTAGAGTTCAGGGAAGTCGAGCATCTAAACCCTCTCACAAGTCGGAACTGGGCGACAGCTTCGAGAGAATGCGGAGGTTGGCGGTCCGGCGCCGAAATCACGCCGCCTTCAGAAGAGGCTTCGTGCAGAGAAGGCTTGAGTGTGCTGCGGTAGGAGCTGGCACCTTGTGATCGGTGCGGGGCTTGAGGTCTTGGGTGGTGACGTTGTCCTTGAGCAACGGGTAGGGCTTACGCTAGCTGTAAGCTTGAGAGAAACACAGGAATTCTCTAGACTCCTTACACTTTGCACCTCAGGCTCAACCAGGTCGTGTCATCAACGTACCAGGTTGGGAATGTAGGTTTTTCTTGGTTGGAGTTAGGCTTGAGGAACGGTGTTGCTTGAGGGCTTCAGGGATTATCGAAAGCCGGACGGAGCCTGGCTTGCAGAGCAAAGGACTCGCGCCATTGGTCCGCACAAAGAGACACCGGAAACGAATCAACACAGCAAGCGACACATTGCTATTATAGCTGTACTGATCAGCAAGACAGCCATCAAAGCAATGATACGATTGTAGCAGTACTCGTGCGACTGTCAGCATATGGTACGAAAGACATGAAGCGATTTTAGATGATATAGTTCAGTCGTAAGACTAAAACAGCAGCAACAGTTACAACATGGGCCATGTAACCGTCGCAGCAATCGTTATGACAATCACTTGCATAAGAGCAAACATAAGTGGCATGTTCGCATCATCGGACAGGGTTGCTCTCGTTCTAAATGTTTGTCCGATTCCTCCTCACATCGTAGATGGGTAGTTCTCCAAATTAGGCTCCCTTTAAGGTCCCTAAGGGGTCAAAGTACTACGTTGGGGACTTAAAAGGGGACTCTAATCTAGAGAACTACCCATATGCCTGATGGCCATTACGCTGAAAGTTTCGTTGCTCAGCGGGCAAACAACCTCTGTGTCAGCGGAGCCGAAGACCACAGCCGATGAACTCCGACAGCTTCTGGGTTGCTATTAGTAGGAACTGAACTTAAGTTGCCATAATCTGGATAGATAGTAAAATAATAGGGTTTCTCTTTTATAGTAACCCAGGATTGCCCAGACTCGGTTCGGGCTGGGCCTCGCGAATCTGGTCGACTCTCGCGGCCGAACGCTCAGTGGGGCCACTTCCGTGGCCGAGCTGGGATTGGTGGACGGGGAGAGCTTGGGAGCGCTCCGACGACGAGCGCAGCTGGTGTCAGGTCGGTTTTCGAGAGCCTTTGCCTTGCTCCGTAGTGATGGCACTGTCGTCACATGGGGTGGTGGCTTCTTCGGAGGCAACAGCACGGGAGTGGAAGCCCTCTTGACAGACGTGCAGCCGATTCATGCTTCATCTGGTGCCTTTGCCGCGATTCTTGGTAATGGAGATGCAGTGACATGGGGTGTCCCGTCATGCGGCGGGGACAGCCGCAGTGTTCGGACGTTGCTGAGAGATGTCCGCCAGATTCAAGCTCCTGAGACGTGTCTAGCAGCACGTTCTGGTAGTGAGGGTCATTAGTACCTTAAGATGGCCTGAGAAAGGCCCCTGCTTGCAAAGAATACATACAGCGACAGGCCACACTGTATGCCTTCGCAGCAATTCGCGGTGACGGAAGCGTCATCACATGGGGATCTGCAGAAAGTGGTGGCGACAGCCACACGGTTGTCCAAGTTCATTGTGCGAGTGCAATGTTGTTAAGATTTTTTGCGCTAGAACCATGCCGTGTGAGGTTTTGGAGCTGAGCAGTTGTTGAAACCAGAAGTTCGCCGGACTGCATTGGTATGACCGTGTACCACAGCACACACTGGCTGCAAGGCCTCGCCTCAACCCCATGCCAAATCGATAGGTTGCGCCGCCCCTGCTGTCGGCCAAGGTAGCATCGTGCAGCCGCTTCTGAAAGATGTGTGGCCAGGATGCACATAGAGGTGGGAATTGGACTGCAGCAACGATCCATTTTTTCTTCGACCGGGCCGCCGGCAAATGCAAGGAAAAAGCACCAACAGTAGGAGCTACAGGGATGGTGAGCTGAGAGAGTGCCCAGGAAGGAAATCCGCGGGAGAAGTTAGGCGGCTCTTGAACCTGGCGCTTCGAACAGACAGCCTATACATACATACATACATACCTACATACATACATACATACATACATACATACAGAGTATCAAACAACAATACAGAATATGATGTTATTACTGCAACACAATATAATGTGATACTACCTTATACTGTATCATATTACATTACATTAGCCTTTTTGTATTATCTTATCTCATCTTGTATCTCGGATACACATTCGGTTGCATACATTACTACGGTTAGTAAAACATGTAATTAGTATAGTTAGGAATACTATGAAGCATGCGGTTAACGACAATATAAACAACCGTAGCTTTCATAGTGGCAATCATAATCGTATTACCATGCAGAATAACAGTATGCATGATGTAACGCACAGCACAAAGTATATACATACACATACACACACATAATATATATATATATATAGAGAGAGAGAGAGAAGAGAGGACATGCAAAATGTTGCAAGCAACATATACTAGAATCTAAAATTGAAACATGCAAAAACATAACCTATAGTGTTAAAAAGCACGACAGATAAGACATAACATGAGACGCCGCATTCAATCCACAAGAAAATTGATGAACTGTGCAAATTTGAAAGTGTATATACATATATACACATGCAATACAACTTCTACTATGCTTAATACAGGCTTTCTCATATGTACTTTATGTTGTAGAATCTATAATCTAGAATACAATCCATGTGGTATCTAATATCTAGCACAACAAGTGCAATCTACATCTACAGTGTGTAATATCTGGTAAATAGTACCAAATATGACATAGAATACATAGTAGGTAATGTAAACTACAGATTACATGGTTAATTTGGCTGCATCTGAGGAAGACCATAGTGGCGACCGCGAAAGCTTTCGCGGCACTTCTGGGAGATGGGAGGGTGGTGACCTGGGGCGTGGAACGATACGGCGGGAGTAGCTGTGAGGTACAGGAGCCCCTTCAGGGATTCAGGGGTTCGGGGTTTCGGGCCTAGGGGTTCTACATGGGTTCTATTCAGGACCAGCTGAAGGATGTGAAGCAGATTCATGCCACTACCGGTGCTTTCGCCGCCTTGCTTGGAGATGGTGGTGTGGTGACATGGGGTCAACGAAATCGTGGGGGTCAGAGCCGCGAGGTTCTGAAGGCGGTGCAGAGCATCACAGCCTCTTCACATGCCTTCGCGGCCATCTTATCGGATGGCCGTGTGGTCACCTGGGGAGAACATGATTGTGGTGGAGATAGCTCCCGGGTCCAGTCGCAGCTGGTGGATGTGCAGCACATTACAGCATCGTCTGGAGCTTTTGCAGCAGTCACTGGGGATGGTCGCATCGTGACCTGGGGCTCTCCCGATTGTGGAGGTGACAGTTCTTCAGTTCAAAGTCAGCTGACGGACGTGCACCAGCTTCGTGCCTCCTCCACCGCTTTTGCGGCCTTGTTGGCAGACGGACGTGTGGTGACATGGGGCTCCCATGCAGATGGGGGAGATAGCCGTGCCGTTCAAGACCGTCTCCAAGGTGTTCAGCAGCTTTGTGCCTCTTCTGCTGCCTTTGCGGCGCTGAGACAGGTCGGGGATGTCGTCACCTGGGGACGGGCGAATTGCGGCGGGGACAGTAGTCATGTTCAGCTGCAGCTGGTTGACGTGGATGTGATCCCAGGGGAGGATTCCAAGAGCAAGAGTCGCCTCGACAAGCGACCTCGAATTGTTTAATGCAGATCCGACGAGGGGCCCGCGGATTGTGTCCATCACTTCTTCAGTCAAAAGCGTGCTCGGGGTTCTGATCCATCGGGTGCTCCGAGTGCATCGATGGACCGATGCTGAACCGTTGGGCTATATTGATACAAGGTGACGAAAAGCAACATGGGTACCAGCAGTCCTTACTAAAGTCCTTACACTGCCTTGCACACTAAACCCTTGGCCCTAAACCCTCCTAAAGCCTGCTTGATCTCGAGTGCGAACCCATATGGGTCGGAATGTTTGCATGCAGTTACCGTCTCAGTGCACTTAACTGGGCCCTCTGAGCCACAAGCCCTGAACCGAGTGGCTGGATGAGGGCGCTGGACTGCATATGAGGCTGCGCCACTGGCATTTGTGGAGCCACCGTCGGCGCTGCGTCGCAGCCTGGAGAGACACTTGGGCGGTTTCCCCCTTGTGGCGGTTCAGGGTTTTCAGGTTTAGGATGAATACAGGGGGTTACTGTGAGAGGTTAGGGTTGACCCTGTGAAGCCCACAAATTATTTGGCTTTGGGTTTAGGGCATTGCATCCTATGCAAACAGACTTGGAAACGGCACACATAATCAAAGCCACTGGCTGCAGACAGATCGAAGTTAACCAAACGCGACAGGGATTCAGCGTACAACTGCACTCCTTTGAAAGTCCCTACAAGTACACACGACTAACATGCAAAAAGTGTTGCAAGTGAGTTCAATCAAAGCTTATAGGCCCTTTCCCCAAGTCCGCAGAGCAGCAGAGCAGGTGGGCTTTAACTTCATTGGGTACTAGAATCCCTATATTTTCCCAAAGGCTAACCTCTAGTTCGCCTAGGATACTATGTGCCCTAATATCTATCATACTAAACCCTCAACCCTAAACCATATAGGACTGGCAGATTGCCTTCTACCACGTAGATTCCCGAGCTGGTACTCTAAGAGTCTAGCACGGAAAAAAAACAGATAAGATACTGCCCTAACCCCCCAAATAACTACTATATAGGGTACTAGAGCCCCTAGGGCCCTATATAGTAGGTACCTGGGGGGTTAGGGCTGGACAAGAACCTTCAGCTCAGGACCGGCGGGACTGGGAGCAGCGCCGGGCGGCCCTTCAACTGCTCTCGGGCGTGGCAAAGGTGAGGGGTTGGAGGCGGAGCTGGGCTAGAAAACATATGTACACGTATCTATCCATCTATCTATCTACCTAGGTAGGTAGGTAGGTAGGTAGGTAGGTAGGTAGGTAGGTAGGTAGGTAGGTAATTATGTAGGTAGGTATGTATGTGTATGTACAGAGAGAGAGAGAGAGAGAGAGTATGAACGATGGTACACACCATATAATACATAGTATATGAATCCTAAGATAGAGCCAGATAGAGCCAATAGTTTCATGTTTCCCCGATCGATCGATCTATCTACATACACATGTATGTGTTGTTTCTGTCTTCTGGCTTATATAGTACAGTACATTATTCATAATGTATATATATATATGTATATTTATATATTTATATTTGGTTTTTATGATATGTATGCATAGGTTTTCAGGGATCTGGGACTCAGTCAACCCTGCACTCTACACAAACTCGAAAGAAGACTCGGCCCGAGCAAGAGCACCGACAATCTCAGCGTAGCTGTCGATCGGTGCTGCATGTCCGACTTTCACACGTGCTCTTTAAGCCCAGAAGTCCTCAAGTGCATCCCCAACCGATCTGCTTTTGCCTGAACACTGCACTTATAGACCATGATAACCCCAACATCGAGTTTCACTTCGTCTACTTCTTGACCTGCTCTCGATGCAGAAAGCACACAACCTGAGCCCTGGACCGTGTAAACCTGTTGTGAATATATATATATAGTTATATGTATGTGTATACATATACATATATATATAGGTATGTATATATATATATATTCTAATACTTATGTGTGTATATAAATATATGAATCAAAAAATATGTGTGCGTGTATGTATATATATATATATTTATTTATTTATATAGATAGATAGATAGATAGATAGATAGATAGAAACCAATCGAGGTGTGCCCGAATTTCGGCTCTGGCACGCCGGCGCCGCTTCCAGGAGCTGCGCACGCTCTGGGGCGCCTGGATGCCGCCTTGCGAGAAGTTTTTTACGGTTTAGGGTTTAGGGTTTACGATATAGAGCCTGACTCACTTTTTTGGGACTGTTTGGGGGGCTGGGGCTTCGGATTGTCAAGTTTAGGGTGGTTTGCTTGTAGTATAGGCTTTCATGAGTGCTTTTTCGAGAGCTCTCAATAAATTGAAAGGTTTCAATTCAACGAGTTCATAGGTTTTGGCAAGGTTTACAAGGCTTTTCCGAGGTTTAGAGCTTAGTGGCATGGCTGGGGTTCAGGGCCAGCAGGTTGGGTGGTAATTCTGAGTGCTCGATGCTGCTAGATCCCAGCATCCTACAGGATTCTCACCACTCGTAGTATAAGCCCTGCTGTTTGTCATTCGCGATTTTAGAGGATGCAACCAATCAGGCAGACAGACATTGGACAAGCAATAAACGCATCGACCATATTTAAAAGGTAAGTGTTTGAGTGTATGGTTCACCTATATTATCTTCATATATACATCATTCATCAGCATGTGTATGCGTGTTTAACTATAGGATATGACTTACATGGCGATGATCCCGACCTCATCTTTTCATGCAGCTGCGAACAGGCGACTTCTTGTCGCTGCTACGCAGCGTTGGAAAGTCGAAGCAGAGGTGCTCTAGCTGAACATCTCGAATGAACATTGGTAGGGCAACAGGTTTTTATTATCGATAGTGAAAGGTTGGTGTCTCCCGGTTTTGTTTTTCGTTGGTTTTACCGTAGCCATTGCTTCCATTGTTGCCGGTAGTGTCCCTTGCTTGTCTTATTGTGCCATTTTCTTGATCTTCAGATCGTAAAACGCAGTTTGGAGGTGGAAGGGGTTGTGTGCTGTGGTTGTCGCTGTGGCTGTTGCTGTCGTTGCTGCTATTGTTTTTATTCGGCTGATGTTGTTTCTACTGTTGCTATTCCAGTACTGGTCCTCCTCAGGCTAATGTCCAGCTCCACTTCGATGGCTTTACTAGTCTGCATTGTTGATGGGCATTACATATCGCCTATATCATGTTGTCGTTGCCGTTGTTCAGCATGTTTGCTCTTGTTGCTATGCACGACAGCAAATTTTGTGAGTTTGCATGGACACTTGCTCAATGTAGGTTGGCCACTATGATCAATGGATGTGGTCAAGATGATGTTCCTGTTTTGTTTACGGCATCGCGCATCCCAACAATTGCCGCAGATCCGATTCGTGATCGCACGCAGCTGTCACAAAGCCGTGGTCATGGGGGAGGGGGGGGCAGGAGCAGCCAGCTAAATTTGCAGCAGTCGTTGGAAGTGCCTCGGACAGGAGTCGATGCAGGCAGAAGCAGAGTTGCTGCTGGTGGCGCAACGTCGCGCCATCCTCGAGGACGGCAGTCTCTAATATATAGGGGCCTAAGTTGTTACCAACAATACTGTTTTGGAGGTTCCTTGATATGACTATATATTATATTAGTATACAACAAAACCCTATTCTAATTATTAACGCACCTATACACCCATACTTTTTTGCACAGCAAAGCATACAAGCTGCCGCCACACGATTTGGAGGACAAGGTCGACAATTCAAGCACAACTGTTGCAACAGAATTCTTACAACACAAGCTTGTCTTGGGCTCCGGCAACATGCGACGGCATGTAGGGGTTTAGAGTTTAGGGTTTAGGGTTGCTGATGTCCGCATGATCATAGTCCATTTAGTCCAACTGATGCAGCCACGAAGCGACCTCACAGGAGAACGTTTCTACCTCTTCGAGGATGAACGAGGACGGCTGTGCTAATGCGTTCCATGCCATTCTCTGCAGCAGGTACTGCATGTCCGCAAAGTTGCAGAAAGGGTTCATGTCGCGACACATGACATAATAAGCAGGGACTGTGCTTCCTCGGCACTGCAGCCCCAAAATGTCACTGTCTCCTGTCTCCAGGAGCTCAAGAGCGAGCTTTGTTGGAGCCTCAGCGAGGATCGAGTTGCACCTCCAGGTTCGATGGGCTTCAGAGCTGAACCTCTGGAGCTTCCCCTGCTACAGCCGAAATCCCAACCCTAAAATCCCGAAGACTTTACACAACTCAAAGGCTGAAGCCATGTTACCTTAAACCCTAAACCCTGAAACCCTAGTCCGCTCCAGGATGGTATCAGCCCTAAAGCCAAAAACCCTAAACCCTTAAACCCCAAGTGGCATGCCTCCACCAAGCTTGGTATTCCGGACACCTTTGGACAGATGGAAAAGAGGTGATAGAAAAAAATTAAACCCCAAGTGGCCAGTAACTGGTGTCAGCTTCTCGTCCAGTAAGGTCAGGCCAAAGCCCGCCTGACCACCGAAGAGGAGGCGGGGAGCACATAGGTAGAGGTTGAGGGTGTGGGGTTTAGGGTCAGGTACCTGTATCACGAATATGCTCTTGCAGGATTCCCTAAGAGGATTGGATT